TTACTATACTTACTATAGCCGGCCTATACTAATTCTAATCTAGAATGTTTATAGTACTTTTAAGTTTTATAAGTAGTAGTATTCTTATCTAGAACGCTTATAGCGAGACCTACCTAGAACGCTTATAATAAGTCCTATCCGAAACGCTTATAACGAGTCCTATCTAAGACGCCTATAGTAAATCTTACCTAGAACGCTTATAGCGGGACTTATCCGGAACGCCTATAGCGAGTCTTATCTAAAAGGCCTATAACGAGACTTATCGGGAACGTCTATAGCGAGTCTTATCCGAAACGCCTATAATAAGTCTTATCCGGAACGCTTATAGTAATTCTAATCTTATACGCTAATAGCGAGTACTATTTAGAACGCCTATAGTAAATCTTATTTAGAACGTTTATAGCGAGTCCTACCCGAAACGCCTATAGCGAGTCCTATTTAAGACGCTTATAGCGTATCTTACCTAGAATACTTATAGCGAGACTTATCTAGAACGCCTATCGCGAATCTTATCTAAAACGCTTATAGCGAGACCTATTCGGACCGCCTATAGTAATTCTAATCTAATACGCTAATAGCGAGTACTATCTAGAACGCCTATCGCGAATCCTATCCGAAACGCTTATAGCGAGACTTATTTAGACTGCCTATAGTAATTCTAATCTAATACGCTAATAGCGAGTACTATCTAGAACGCCTATATCTAGAACGCCTATATCCGGAACGCCTATATCCGGAACGCCTATATCCGGAACGCCTATCGCGAATCCTATCCGAAACGCTTATAGCGAGACTTATTCGGATCGCCTATAGTAATTGTAATCTAATACGCTAATAGCGAGTACTATCCGAAACGCCTATAGTAAGTCTTATCTAGAACGCTTATAGCGAATGAAATAAGTCTTATCTAGAACGCTTATAGCGAATCTTAGTTAATATACTAATAGCGAGTACTATCCGGAACGCCTATAGCGAGTCCTATCTAAGACGCTTATAGCGAGTCCTATCTAGAACGCTTATAGCGAATCTTAGCTAATACGCTAATAGCGAATCTTATCCGGAACGCCTATAGTAATTCTTATCTAATACGCTAATAGCGAGTACTATTCGGAACGCCTATAGCGAGTCTTATCCGAAACGCTTATAGCGAGACTTATTCGGAACGCCTATAGCGAATCTTATCCGGACCGCCTATAGTAATTCTAATCTAATACGCTAATAGCGAGTACTATTTAGAACGCCTATAGCGAGTCTTATCTAAAACGCTTATAGCGAGATTTGTCCCGAACGCCTATAGCGAATCTTATCTAAATCGCTTATAATAAGTCTTATCCGAAACGCTTATTATAACTTATAGCGAGTCCTATCTAGAACGTATATAGCGAGACTTATCTAGAACGCCTATAGCGAGTACTATCCGATACGCTAATAGCGAGCCCTATCTAATACGCTAATAGCGAGATTTATTCGGATCGCCTATAGTAATTGTAATCTAATACGCTAATAGCGAGTACTATCCGAAACGCCTATCGCGAATCTTATCCGAAACGCTAATAGCGAGTACTATCTGAAACGCCTATAGTAAGTCTTATCTAGAACGCTTATAGCGAATAAAATAAGTCTTATCTAGAACGCTTATAGCGAATCTTAGTTAATATACTAATAGCGAGTACTATCCGGAACGCCTATAGCGAGTCCTATCTAAGACGCTTATAGCGAGTCCTATCTAGAACGCTTATAGCGAATCTTAGCTAATACGCTAATAGCGAATCTTATCCGGAACGCCTAAAGCGAATCTTATCCGGAACGCCTATAGTAATTCTTATCTAATACGCTAATAGCGAGTACTTAGGCTATTTGGAACGCCTATAGCGAGTCTTATTCGAAACGCTTATAGCGAGACTTATTCGGAACGCCTATAGCGAATCTTATCCGGACCGCCTATAGTAATTCTAATCTAATACGCTAATAGCGAGTACTATTTAGAACGCCTATAGCGAGTCTTATCTAAAACGCTTATAGCGAGATTTATCCCGAACGCCTATAGCGAGTCTTATCTAGGACGCTTATAGCGAATCTTAGTTAATACGCTAATAGCGACTCGGAATCTTATCTAGAACGCTTATAGTAAGTCTTACTCGGAACGCCTATAGCGAGTATTATCTAGAACGCCTATAGTACTTCTAATCTAATACGCTAATAGCGAGTCTTATCTAGAACGCCTATAGCGAGTCTTATCTAGGACGCTTATAGCGAATCTTAGTCGGAATAATTATAGCGAATCTTATTTAGAACGCCTATACTAAGTCTTATTTAAAACGTTTATAGTAATTCTAATCTAGAACGCTAATAGCTATTAGCGAGTACTATCTAGAACGCTTATAGCGAGTCTTACTAAGAATACGTTTAATACTTCTATTTATTCTATACGCCTTGCTACTAATTTAATTCCGTCGGTAGGCGTATATCCGCGCCGGCGGCGCGGACAGTAGGCTAGTATATATATATTTATTTATTGAAACGAAACCCCATTATCATTATCTCCTCCTAAGCCATCCAAACATGCCTCCAAACCCACCCGTACCTCTAGGCTTATACACTCTCGTCTCCGTCCCACCATGCGTAGTCTTCGTAGTCTTCTCACCCTTACCCTTAGCCTTGGCCTTACCCTTCCCATTCCCCCCTACAGCTCTCTTCCCATACCCCTTCGGCGCAGTGACCTTAGCAGTCGTCATCGTCATCGTCAAAGTCTTCGAAGAACTCGCAGCACCATAATAACTAGAAGGCTTCGCAGCCCACCCACACTTCTCCGACCCATACAAACTCAACCCATTACTCCCCCCACAAACCGCGAACGGGTTCCCGGAACACGCCATCTTACACCTTCCGTCTTTCACCTCTTCACACCCGGGTTCCAACGTGTCTCCGCAATAACATTCCGAACCGTACTCTGTAGCGAAGTACTTGTGTCCCGTGCAGAAATCGGAGCAGGCTTTGTTTGTGTTGTTGGATTTGTTGTCGTAGGAGAGGATGCGTTTGTTGACGCGGAGGGCGCGCCCGAGGACTTCTTTGTAGCAGCCGAGGTAGGTCCAGCAGGAGATTTGGGGGACGGGGGTTGGGGCGGGTTTTGAGGTTGAGGTGGGGGTGGATTTTGGAGGGGAGGAGGTTGACGTGAGCTGTGGTTTTACGACGGGGGAGGATGTGGTGGTGCTGGAGATGGGAGGGCGAGCAGACGATGATGATGAGGTGGTTGGAAGGGGAGTGCTGCTTGGTGTGGAGCTGACGTAGGCGAAAGGCGTGGTGCTGCTTGCAGGCGTACTTGATGAATCAGTCTCTCCGTCTTCAGCTTCATCTTCATCTTCATCAGCCTCGTCCGTGTCGCCGGAATCATCATCATCGTCGTCGTCGCCATTGCCCGAAGGAGTAGAAGTGGCTTCTGCCGTGGTCGTCGAGCTGACAAATTGGAAAGGCATTGTACTGCTCGTGACCAGAGAGGTACTTGAATCAGATCCATTATCCTCATCGTCGTCAGTCGAATCATCGTTGTCCTGAAAATCATCCCCAGAATCATCGCTATCTTCTTCATCATCATCGCCATCCGCATTCGGGGTCGGAGTAGCAGAAGCAGATCCATAGCTAGCCTGCGAAGGCGAAGCCATATACCCAGTAGGCATCTCAGATCCAGCAGCCCAAGAAGAGATGGCAGGCAATTCTGACACCGGGCATACGGTAGTGAATGAGCTCACGGTTTCTGTGACGTACACCTCGGTCGATTTCGAAGCCGGACAGCTTGTGACCGACGATGGACATCCCGTCACAGTGATCGAGGTTGTCACTCGGATTGTTGCGGTTGTAGTGCCAGATTTCGGCGTTGAGGCATCAGTCGAGTAGTCTACCCTGTGGACCCAAGCCGGAGCATCGCTATCTGAAGTGGCGCTTGAGGCTGCAGTCTGTGCCGGCGGACTCGGGGACGATGTATTAGGAGCAGGAGTGGTCGTTGCAGGTACACTCTCAACGCTTTCATCGTCCTCGCTGTCAGGTGTGTCCTCATCGGAACCATCATCCTCATCCTCGCCATCTTTGCTTTCTTCTGAGGAATCCTCTGAAGGTGTCGCGGCCACGGAAGACGTGGTACTGCTATTAGAGTCATAACTTGAAGGCGATGCGTCCTCTGGTTCTTCAGTATCCACATCATCTCCATCGTCGTCGTCCGAATCTGTGTCTGGAATTGCAGTTGCTTCCGGAATGGAAGACGAATCTTCAGTATCATCATCACCATCCTCATCTTCAGACGCATCTGGGGCAGGAGTCGCTTCAACGATTGAAGATGAAATTTCTGTCTCGTCATCTTCAGCATCTGAGTAGGAGCTTGGCGTTGGTATAGACTCAGACGTAGGATTTTCCTCATCCTCGTCGTCGCTCTCCTCGGCGTCGGCATCGCCAGTCGCTTCTGGAGATGACTCCTCTTCCTCGTCATCGTCATTTTCATTAGAGTAACCGCTCGGGGTCGACGAAGGAGCCGACGTTTCTTCATCGCCATCATCTGAGTCTCCAGACGGAGTAGGAGTTGTTGCAGTCGAATCGTCTTGATCTTCACCTTCATCACCATCATCATCGCCTTCATATTGCGTAGGAGTCGGCGTATCAGAAGAAGAAACTTCCGTCTCCTGTTCGCCACTTTCATCAGCTGCGATTCTCTCCTCGCTGGAGGGCAAAGTGCTTGTTACTGTATTTGTAACATATGAAGAGAGAGTCATTGTGAGCGTCTTGGTGCCTTCCTCGATTGTAGTCGTGGCTACGGCAGTGGAAGTCGGGCATAGGGTGATGTACACGGTAGTAGTGCTAATGGAGGCGCTGCAACTCACCTCGTCATCTGTAGAGGTTTCCTCGGTGGTGGTACCAGTGGGAGGGACGCTCTCGTCGTCATCAGCGTCGTCGTCAGCGTCATCAGAAGAGCTGCTTTCTTCGCTCTCGGTCTCGTCCGAAATGTCATCTTCGCCAGGAGGGCTTCCATCACTATCAACAGGCGTGGATGTGGTGTCATTGCCACTGCACTCTCCAGGCTCCGACGTGCAAACATAATAATTCGCCCAAAGGTTATAGCATTCCGCCCCAGCCTGCGGATTCCAGCTCTCGAAATCTTCCACATCGATGCCCATGGCATCTGCAATACTCTCACAGGTGTCGCCAGGGTTGACTTGAACGTACTTGGCACAGCCTTCTGCTGTACCTGGTTGTGTATTGGTCGGAATTGCTGCTGCACAGTTACTCGCGGAGCTTGGAGAAGTGTTTGAAGGCGCTTCGTCATCTTCGCTGTCATCATCATCGTCTTCGTCCTCTTGCACGTCTGGCGTTGTTGCAGTATCGGAAGAAGTTGGAGGAGCAGATGTCGCGGGATTGACGCCAACTGAGTTGGTAGGGTTGACTGGAGGCACAGGCGCTGGCGTCGGGATGAAGTCAGGCTTGTCGGTTTGAACAGCTGGGCTTGAGGCACTCGGGTCAACGCTTGTGGCCGATGAGCCTGTCGAGCCGCCGGAAGTGAGGCTAGAAGCACTCGAAGAGCCTGCCGCACTTTTGGTGGAGCCAGCGCTATCGGTAGTATTCAAGCACTTAAAGCTTGCCGTGTTTCCAGTAGTATCCGTCGCCTGATACTCGGCGCAGGAAGTATATGGTGTGATGGTGACCTTTTTCACATACAAGCTGTACGGGAAGCCCTTTAGATCCGTTTCACCGCCTGCCCATTGCTTGGTATACCACGCCACATCTTTGTATCCTGCGTCCCACAAGCCGAGATGAAAACGCGAAGGACTTTGAGGGTACCGATATTGGTTGTTATCTTGGTTCTTGGCATACAGAGTGCGAATCACGTTGCCATTGATGGCCCACGATAGCGAATCTGGCTTCCAGTCGAATGTGTAGGTCATGAAGTTTTGTGTCATGTTCTTCTCTACTCGAGGTTGAGTGCCTCGGTCCCAGTTTCCGGTCACGCCCTGACCGAAATAGTTGGTTTGGATGGTAGGCACCTTCAGAGCGAAATCATTTCCGGACCATTCCCAGTCGATCTCGTCCAGAGTATCGGACATCAGCACAGCACTGCTGATCACACCGATACCGGGAGCACTCTGGAGTGTGACCTCCACCTTTCCATAGTGCAAGTAATTCTTCGTCCAGATGTATGGGGCTGACAGGCCATCTGGGAGTCGGAATTCAAGACCCTTGCTGTTGCTGAAGCTCAAATATTGTTCTGCGTAGTCAGCGATGATCCAGTTGTTTGGAACCTTGGAGAGAGTCGTAAAATCGTCGGTAAAGCGTTCAGTGAGTCCTGGGACGGGAGGACAGGTGCCTGTCGATTTATGTTAGTGACCTACTTACGTGCAGAGCTGCAGTCTTTACCTTTAGTTGGGTTGCATGGGCCCTGCGCGGACACAACAGTTGTACCCGCAGCTGCTAGCAGAATGCCTACAGTTTGTAGGCTGTGCATGGCTAAGACTTGGAGTGAGGCCGACCTCGGTGCCTGGAGAATCGCAGCCGGGCAAGTTATGGCAGAGCGGGAAAATGGATTGCTGGAATGTTCCGCGCAACGTTCGTGGAAGTTCGGATACTCCAGCAGATGTTGCATTAAGCTAAGCTTCGAGCGAAGCTTTTTGTTGTTCTGCTATTCTACTTGCGTGCCGAGTACAAAGGCATCAGGCTGATGCCAAGACATTGAGCTCTATTCGTAGAAATCCGGACAAAGCGAGACCGGGCCAGCAGTCGCTTTCGACCAAGATTGCGCCTTTCTCGCTTGTTCTTGCAATACTGTATCCTTCACAATATGATGTTGGCGGAGATGAGCGTTGGACGCCTCCAATTTTGCAGCCTTTCTCCACTGCATTTTCTCGATCCAGACCAAACGCCATCTTCTCGTGATCCTCGAATGGTCTGCGTGAGGACCTCTCTCCATCTCTCCAGCATTGGGAGTGCGATATGTGCCGCGTGAGGTGGGGAGACGTATTGAGAAAATGCGATGGCCGGAGGCGAGCTCATTGGGTCTCCAGAGTGAGCAGCAAGAGATACGGTCACATTCCGAGGGCCCAGTTCGTGGCGCTTGTGTGAGTCGTCTGTAGCCAGCATCGTGACTTATGCCTGGCGTTCGCGTGTGTTGCCATCTCGCATTCCAAAGTCGTGCGGAGGACGTAATTTCCTCCCGTCTTCCCGACGTGCTTTCACAGCCCAAGCAGCGTGGCCGTGATGGATATACTATCTTGCCCACTTGCCTCGAAGTCTTGCACTTTGCAAATGATTTTTCCGTCCAGATTGCCTTCTCCGTCCTGCCATGTCTGACCGTCCCACGACCAATCTGAAGGCATGTTCTCTTTCGGGATGGACACGTTGAAATAGTTGAAGCAGATCAGACCAAGGAGTCCTTCGTTCTGAAGGTTGACGTCGCCTTCCAAATACGTGCCCGGCGAGGGTCGGAAGACGAGGAAGTCGCAGGTCAGCCAGAGGAATGAGACTGCGTATTCGTTGAAGCTGCGCGCGAGGACGTCTGATGGCCCTTCGCTCACTTGATCTGGAGACTCAGACATGCGTGCGTTTTCGAATGCGAGAAGAACGCCATTCAGAGGAGGATAGTAGGAAAGCAAATGCGGAGAGATGTGTTCGGCGAGAAGTCCTCCGAGCGGATCGCTGTAGGCGCAGGGCGAGAGGGCGAGGTAGAAGGATGTCGTGATATGCTGGATGGGCGAGGGGAGATGAAGCTTGCCATGCAGCGAAGCCGCAGTCGCTATGGGCACTTTCTGCTTGCCAGCTTTCAGGGAGGCTCTGGCTGCCTTTCGTGCAGCTTTGGCGGCAACTTCTTCTGCTGCCCTCTCCTGCCAAGTCATCAGTAGCCAGAAAGAGGTCGGACGGATGGTATTGCACACCTTCTTCGCCATATCAGCGAGACTACGGTGAATGAGTGTTGATGCGACTTGCATGTGAAGGAAGGACAATTTTGGACCGCTGAGACAAAATTGCTTAGAACTAGCCCGCCCAGCGTAGACTTTTGACCGCTGTGGAATGCCAAACGCGTCTGTGCATGCAGCCTCGGTCACGTCAAGAAGGCGTAGATTTTTACTTATTGCAGGCATAATCTCGTCCGCAGGGTATAGTGATACCGCCGAAAGCTTGAAAGAGGCTGAGGGAGAGGGTGTACGGGAGAAGATTGCGAACAGCTTTCATCAACCAGCGAGCGACTCGATGCGTACGGATGACAGCGTCAAACGGTCCACCGCACATACAACTACCAGCGAGTCGGACGTCTCACGGCGAAGTCGACATCGAATCTACTGTGGCGCCATCTACCCTACGCTGTCCTACCTTGGACTGCGGGTCGGAGATCATTGTTCCCTACACGCTCACGCTCACGCTCACGCTCACGCTCACGCTCACACCCACTCGCTCACCACACCGACTCACCACATGCGGTAGAGCAGGAGGTGCACGCGTGACCGTCTACCATCCGTCGGCGCCGCCATGGCTTCGAACCAGCTCCTCTCCCTGGTAGGCTGGGCCTTCCTCCCGAACCTGATCACGTCCTACCTCCAGCCTGTCTTGTACACCGTCTTCATCCGCGCTGGCGACCCGAAGCCTCAGCCTGGTACGGCACGCTTCAACAGAGATCGGCGCAACCTCCGCGTCGCCGGCATTGTGGCTTACCTGCTTTACACCATCTACGAAGCAGACTATCAACTTCATCGAGCCGTCCATTTCTACCGCCTTCTTGGCTTGACGCCCCATGCCACCGAACGCGAGATTCAGAGCAAGTTCCGTCGTCTGACCGTTCAATTCCACCCGGACAAGGCTACTGGCCCCGACAAAGCACAAATCGAGCGCATCTATGTCCAGCTCAAGATCGCTCGAGACACGCTCGTCGACCCTGCCAAGCGATTTGCCTACGATCGATTCGGCCCGGACATTCTAGGCTGGCAGAATTGCAAGCTCGTCCGCGACTTCATCTTCTCTGGTCTCCAAGGAACGCTCGTCTACTACATCGGATCAGCCGTTGCGTTAGTCGTCTTGGGTGTGTTGGGCTATCTGCGCCAAGGCGTCTTCTGGAGATACCTAGTCATGGCAAGCTTGTTCGTCATCGAAATGCATACGGTGACTCGCCCACACTTTCCACCCTTGCTCACCACGGTCGTCAACCCAATCGTCGCTGCAACTGGAGTGAGGTCGCCATATCTGCCATTTCAGATGATCACACTTTTGCGGAAGCTGGCCGTCACATTCTTCATCGCCATGTCACAGCTTGGACCACTTTTTCAGGACCCGAAGCAAGCCGCCGCTGGTGAAGGATCAAGCATTCCGCCTCAGCAGCTCGACAGCATCGATGCCTTGGCAGCGGTGACGGATCAAGAAGTCACGAGACTGCTCGCTTTCGAGCTCTCGCCATTTGCCAGTGATGAAAAGGCTGCGAGAGAGCTGAGAGGTACACTCAAGGACTGGCTGGTGCAGAACAGTATCCGCAATGACCCTGAGGTCAAGATGGCAATTGAGAGGCACTTCGAGCGTCGAAGACGAGAAGGTGTTGGGGAAGTTCGGTGAGCGGTCTTTAGCGACGAAGACAGGATCCATGCAGTCTCCAACCTCTTGGACTTGGATGTATTTAGAGGAGTCGTGTGCCGATGAGAATGCAGAACCACATAGAAACCCGAACGTTTACGACGTCACCAGACCGATCAGTCGTTCGGGTCACGGAAAACTACTCATCCGGGCGGGCGTATTACAGGCTTGGGCATAGCGCCAAGACATGCTCTCCGCATAACTTCCAAGTGACGTAGAAACCTCCACTTCACTTCGAGCCTTGAAAAGAGGAATTGGGACGTACAGACATCACTGGCGAGATGATAGACAAAGCAGAACATTATACAGCTGCGACAATGAAATAGCCTCGTCCGTAGTATGCCCCACGCAGGATGAATTTTTCGCCATCCAACAATCCTCACCTCGCGAACCATTTGCCTGGCACTGCTCTACCCGACAGACCCACGCGCCTCTGAGATCTACCACTCCAGCACATCAACCGGATCAGGGGGCCGTCCTTGGACAGTTCCGCGCAGTTGATCGTCCGGGACCTACACGCGCACACGAACCCATGAATCCGCCAAAATGGCCACCCCAGCCGCAAGAATGGACCTAGCAGCACGAAAAGAATTCCTCACCTTCCTCGACCAACTCGCCCACGTCTCCTCCTCAACCTCCTTCTACACCACCGCGCGCGACAAACGCGCCAAAGCCGGAAGATGTCGCTACGCCTCGGGAAGATGCCACCTCCTCGAACTCCCCCCCGAACTCCGCAACCTCATCTACCGCACCATCTACCCCCTCTACCACTCCGAAACCCCCATCTCGCCCATGAAAATCCAAAACCCAAACCCCACCTTCCTCCTCACCAACTCCCAAATCTACCACGAAGCCCGCGGCTACTACGAACAAGCCCGCGGCCATTTATGGATGGACAGTAACTTCCTGATCCGGCAACAAAGCCTCCAAATCTCGGATCTCGCGTCTCTCCAAAAATTCGATTTGGATCTCATCA